CACACACCACACACACACACCTCCATCTCTTACATTATGGCGGGTACCGGGTTGGAGGACCTGCAGTACCTCTCGCTGGTCTCCAAGCTCTGCTCAGAATTGGAGCGCCACTTGGGCTTTGGCGAGAAGCCCATGGCTGAGCTCGTCATCCATGTCGCTCGTGATGCTGCTAGCAAGGAAGCCTTTGCTGCTGCCCTGGCTGGTCAAGGTGCAGACTTTCCACAAACGCTCGTCAACTCGCTCTATGCTCTTATTGTCCGTATGCTCCCGCCCTCACGCCTCACGCCCGCCCTCCGCGCTGCCCGGGCTGCACTGCTCGGTCCGCAGGCCGCTCCTACGCCGCAGCCCAAACTGGTAACCACAGCGATGACCGCGCCGCCTCACTCCAAGTCGCCCTCGCTTGCCCCGTTGGCTGGAGCAGAATCGACGGCTACAGCTGCCGGCGAAGAAGGCGGTGGTCGCCGCCGCCGTAAGAGACGCAAGCGCCGTCGCGATCCGTCGCCCGATGCTGGCCGCCCGGCTCCGCCTACCCGCGCCCCTGCAGCTCCGCAGCAGCAACCGTTGCAGTCGTCGCCACAGCAGCCGTTGCAATCCTACCCGCCGCAGCAGCCGTTGCAATCCTACCCGCCCCGCGGCCAACCGCAGCAGCCGCCCCACGGTGGCCCGCCGCCGCCCCACGGTGGCCCGCCGCCGCCCCACGGTGGCCCGCCGCCGCCCCGCGGCCCGCCGCCGCCCCGCGGCCCGCCGCCGCCCCGTGGCCCGCCGCCCCGTGGCATGCATCCAGAACGGGCACGGATGCTGGCGCGGGCGCCGCCGCCAACCGCTACTCCGCAAGATGCCGGCGTGGTGGTCGGCAAGCTGTATCGTGGTCGGGTGGCGTCGACCAAGCCATACGGCGCCTTTGTGACGCTGCAAGGCGTGTCGCCGCCGATGGACGGCCTCATGCACCTGTCCGAAATGACTCTGGCGCGCGGACAGACTCCCGCTGACGCTCTGGCGCGCGGCGAGGAGCTCTGGGTCAAGGTCATCCGCGTCGAGGGCACCAAGATCTCACTCACCTCGCGTGACATCGATCAGGTGAGCGGAACAGATTTGGTGGCGGCCGGTCCGTCGCGCGCGACGTTTGGTTCACGGGCAGGGCCCGGCGCACCGCGCGGCTTGCCCCGATCCGACACCGCCAGCTCGGCGCCGACCAAGAAGCAGCAGCGGATCTCGTCGCCGGAGCGCTGGGAGCTGCTGCAGCTGTACAAGGCCGGAGTTATTTCGGCCAAGGACGTGCCTGGATTTGATCCGGAGCGTGGTGTGACCTCGCTTGTCGACGAGGAGATCGAAGAGTATGAAGTGGTAGTCCGGTCGGACCGCCCCACTTTCCTGCAGGACCAGCAGACAATGGCGGCGTCGCTCTCGCCGGTGGCGGTGGTCAAGGTTCCGGACGGTTCGCTCAACTCGGCGGCACAGCTGGCGTCGGCCCTCGCCAAGGAGCGGGCGCAACTGCGCGAACAGAAGCGGCTCGAAACAGCAGCCGAACAAGTACCGGACGACCTCGCCCAGCCGTGGCACGACCCCATGTCGAGCTCGTCGCGGCTTCTCGCCGGGCAGGTTCGCAACATGGCGCTCGGCCTCAATGCCGACGAGGAGGAAGAGCCCGAGTGGAACTCCAAGTCGACGTCGTACGGCAAGCGGACGTCGGCGTCACTGATCGAACAGCGTGAGTCGCTGCCCATCTTTGCCTACAAGGACGCACTCCGCGATGCTATCGCTTCGAACAACGTGCTGGTGGTCATCGGTGAGACCGGATCCGGCAAAACGACCCAGCTCCCACAGTACCTGGACGAGTTTGGCTACACCTCGCGCGGAACTGTGGTCTGCACCCAGCCGCGACGCGTGGCGGCTATGTCGGTCTCGGAGCGTGTGGCCGAAGAGGTGGGAACCCGGTTGGGCGACTACGTCGGCTACCGCATCCGGTTCGACAACTGCACGTCGCCGGCGACAAGGCTCGTGTATGCCACCGCGGGTCTTCTTCTCCGTGAGATCCTGGCCGACCCAGACCTCACCAACTACTCGGTCGTCATTCTCGACGAAGCCCACGAGCGGACTGTCAACACCGACGTCCTGCTCGGCCTGCTCAAGGAGCTTGTCGTCCGGCGGCCGGACCTCAAGCTCATTGTCACGTCGGCGACGCTCAACGCCGACAAGTTTTCAGCTTTCTTCAACAACTGTGCTGTCTTCCGCATTCCCGGCCGCACCCACCCGGTCGAGATCCTCTACGCGCGCGAGCCCGAGACCGACTACCTCGATGCGGCGCTGCTGACCGTCATGCAGGTCCATCTGACAGAGCCCGCCGGCGACATTCTGGTCTTCCTCACCGGCCGCGACGAGATCGAAACCGCGTGCGAGGTGCTGACCCAGCGGATGAAGGCCCTCGGGCCCAAGGTTCCGCGCATGATTGTGCTCCCGCTCTACTCGGCGCTGCCGAACCAAGTCCAGTCTCGAGTCTTTGAGCCGCCGCCACCCGGCGCGCGCAAGGTCGTTGTCGCCACCAACGTAGCCGAGACCTCGATCACCATCGACGGCATCAAGTTTGTCGTCGACTCTGGCTTTGAAAAGGTCAACGTCTTTGACGCCCAGGCCGGCTCCGACTCTCTCCAGGTGGTGCCGATCTCGCAGGCCGCTGCCAACCAGCGCGCAGGCCGTGCCGGGCGGACCGGGCCCGGACGCTGCTTCCGGCTCTACACTGAGGAAGCTTACCTCAACGAGATGCTGCCGTCGCCGGTGCCGGAGTTGCAGCGGTGCAACCTGTCGTCGACAGTGCTGCAGCTCAAGGCGATGGGCCTCTCGGACCTGCTCTCGTTCCCGTTCATCGACGCGCCGCCGGCGTCAGCGCTCGTCGCCGCCCTGCAGACCCTTTTCAACCTCGGTGCACTCGACGAGGAGGGCCTCCTCACCCGGCGCGGGCGGCTGATGGCCGAGCTCCCGCTCGACCCGCGTCTCGCCCGCGCCCTGCTCGCCGCCGTCGAGTTTGGCTGTGCCACCGAAATGCTCACCGTCGCCGGCATGCTTGGCGAGCAAGTCTTCTACCGGCCGCGCGACAAGGCCAACGAGGCTGACGAAGCCAAGTCACGGTTCCACGACTCGTCCGGCGACCATGTCACCTTGCTTAATGTCTTTGAGTCGTGGGAGAACAACGGGCGGAAAAACGCTTGGGCGCATGCGAACTACATCCAGGCACGCGCCCTCCGCCGCGCCGCAGACGTCCGCTCGCAGCTCCACGCCATCATGGTCCGGCTTGGGCTCGACGTCACCTCGGCCGCCGGCCGTGACACCAACCGCATCGTCAAGGCTATCCTCACTGGTTTTTCAACAACGTGGCCAAGCGGACCGACGAGGGCTACAAATCGCTTGTCGACGACCAGCAGCTCTACCTCCACCCATCGTCGGCTCTCTTTCAAAACCCGTCCGAGTACGTCCTCTACAACACCATCCTCGAGACCTCACGCATGTGGGTCCTTACCGTCTCAGCCATCGAGCCGCGCTGGCTCGTCGAGGCCGCGCCGGCGGTCTTCTCGCGCGCAGACGCTCGCAACTTGTCCAAGGCCAAGCGCCAGGAGCGCATCGTCCCGCTCTACGACAAGTACGCCGAGAAGGAGGGCGGCGAGGGCTGGTGGCGCATCTCGCGCCAGAAGCGCCGTCGCTGATGGTGCAGCTTTAACCCTTGACGGTACGGTCGTTCGGACGCGTTGTCGCGCGTCTCAAAGTGAACAACTCGATGATACTTGACATCCAGGTCACCGGCCGACACTGCGCGACGCCTGCTTGGCCTGCGGCTCGAGGTGGGAGGCGCGCCTGCACGTGATGGCGGCCGACACGTAGACGCCTGCCTGAAGGATGCTCGAGTTGCCGTCGCGGTGACGATCCCGACGACCGGAGGGAGAGCATGCCAGAGTTGAACACAGCGGCCGGACAGGAGAGCGGGAGGACGTTGTGGATCTTCTTGCGACGGACGAGCTTGCCGGTCGGCGTGGCTGCTTAAGTGGTGGCACGCCATCCTGTACTGGATTCTGGACGCCGCGCTCATCAACGCGTACGCGCTCTGTGCCAACGCGAGCCCGCGCCCCGCCATGACTCGCGTGGCTATCATCGACGCCCTCTTGCCGCCAGCACCGACGCCGTCAGCTCCGCGCCGTCGCTCAAGCGGAAGCGTCCCCCTGAAGCGGCCGCTCGTCAGCACCGCTTTCCCCAACAAGCCGCTCTGCGACGCGGCTGCCTCGCCTGCCGGAAGCTTCATGGCAACCGATCGCGGCCGCGGACCTTTTGCGCTGCGTGCGGCGTCCATCTCTGCATCGCCGACTGTTTTCTATTGTGGCAGCCAATAACACATTGTACTACTCTTTTACAACAATCCATGGACGTTGCGACGTCTGTGGAGCGTCGCGGAGCGCGGCTTGCGCGATGGACATCTTTGTCCATTCCGTATCGGAAAGCGTTAAACTCATGGCTCCTCATTCGACCTTGGGCAGCTCGAGGCCACGCTCAAGAACCTGCTTGCGGAGCACCTCGACGTCGGCCGCCATGGCCGATGTAGCGGCCACCAGCTCGGCCAGCACCATCGCCTGCGCGCGCACATCGCGGTACACCTGGTTGACCTTGGAGGTCGCCAGCGGCTCAGCGAGGCCGATCTCCTCCAGAAAACTGTTGACCTGGGTGACGGTCTGCGACGGCACGCTGCTTGGCGACCAGTTGGTCGTCGCCTTGATCATCCGCGACCGCAGAACCACGCTGTGTCGCGGGAACGGCTCCTCGGTCGCTGCAATGCCCGACATCCGCGTCAGCACCTTGCCCAGCAGCCGCTGCGTCGCCCGCGACGACTTGGGTCGCGAAAACTCGAGAACCCGCTTGGTGGCGTCAATCGACTCGGTGAGCGTCAGCGCCCGCTTGGCCTTCTTGGCCGCCGGTACCTCGCCATCGTCACCAAGCGCCATCGCAGCAGCAGTCGCAGCTGTGCTCGCCTCGGACGCAGCCGAGGTGGCGCTAGCTGTGGCAGGCGCTGCCTCGGCCGCCGACGACGAGCTGGCGGCAGGAGCAGCCTCGGCACCGGCCTCGGCCGCCGGCGCGGCGCGGAGCGCCTCCAGATGCTCCAACAGCTTGGCACGAAAGGCTTCGCGCGCCTTGCGGGCAGCAACCCGCTTCAGCGCCGAGTTGCGCGAGCTCGACGCCTTGCCCTCGGGCGTCGCCGACGACGCCGACGCCGACGCGCGGCCGGGCTTGGGCTTGGCGAGGCCGTACTCGACAAGCTTGCGGCGGAGAAAGGCCTGCTCGTTGGTGATCTTGTTCGATGCAAAGTACACAGCATTAGCTTGGGACTTGCGCTTCTCCTCGTACTCACGGTTGAACGGCTTGTCGATAATGGGCACCTTGGAAGCGAGGGCGAGGGCCGAGGTCGAGCCGCGCTGAGCCAAGACCGAGCAGTAGGCGGCGGCGATGTTGCGGGCGACGGTATAGTACCGGTCCTTGATCTCCTCCAGTGACTTTTCGTAGGGAAAGCGGTCAGCAACTACGTGCCAGCGACAACCGTAGCGCTTGGCCATGGCAATGAGCTCGTCGGTCATGGGCTTTGTCCACGAGTCCGAGGGGCAGAACCGGTCGTACTCATCGTCGGTATACTGCACCACCTCTGCCGTCTTTGCGCAAATCTCAGCAAAGATGTAGTCGTCCCGCACCGCAGCCTCCTTCTCCCAGTGCGCCAATTCCAGGCCATCACTCCGCGCCGACGACGTGAACTTGCGCCACACCCACTTGGGCACCCGCAGCGTGTCGCTTCCGGCTCCGCCCGCAAGCGTTACCTCCATGGGTGCGCCCACACGCGAGTCGTGCGCTCCCAGTGCCAGGCCTGCCACTTCGGACTCTACGCCACCTCCGTCGGCATCTGCATGTGCGTGTGTGTATGGGGGGTGAGGGGGAGGGGGGGGGGAGGGGGGGGAGGGGGGGGGAAGGAGAGGGTGCGTACTGCGGCGCCTCTTTCGGCTCTTGGGCATGCTGTGTGAGAGATGTGGGGATAGAGTGGGGTGGGGTGGGGATAGAGTGGGGTGGGGTGGGGGG